GCAATCACACTCAGCTGTTATTGATAATAAAATAATCAGAATTTTTTTATTTTTTACTCAGAGTAGAAAGTAGGCACAATTACGAAACAGAATGCATGAATAAAGGGCGGAGATTCAGACAAAAGTTAAAATTTCATGGTCTCCAGTACATATTTAATTTCATGGATAAAGATGATGTTCTTTTTGGTGATGATTTTAAAACTGTCCATTATTTTTCCATATGTTTGTGTAATCTCTTATCTTGTTTATATTGATAAATAAAATTTCGGACCAGATTTTCAGATAGTCTTTCCAAATTTTGTGACTGGTTTTTGATTTTTGTTAAATTGTTATCCGTTAATTTAATTTAATCTCAATATGAACGTAGTATGTTTCTTCGAAACGTTGTTATCTGCATACGAGTCTACAGGTGGCCAAAACTCTGAAGAACCTCACCTCCGTGAATACCTCAAATCTCGCATTTTCATAAAAATGTCACACTAAACAGTTGAATTCAGCTTTTGAGATTTGAAGTTCTCAAGGCGGTGTGGATGTCGATGTTGGTATTCTGGGTTCAAATACCGTGACATCCTAAAATAACACACCCGGAATATAGACTTATAGGTAGATAGTAAGTTTTTACCCTGAAGATGTAGGCTGTATGTACCTCTTTGTTTTTACGTGAAAGTCGACAGAGCATTACATTCCATAAGACTAAAATCGACATTTTGCTTTTGCAATGCATTTTATTTTTGGCGAGGGTAAAAACGAACGCTCTCGATAGTAAAAATTTCACTATGTGATTTTTCTTGAGTAGGATTGGAATTCAACGACCTGAGAATTAAAGAACAATAAGAAGTTTGTATAGTGATAAGTATGGAAATACAGTGAAGCGTCTTGTGAAGTTCTAGAAGCTTTCTCTTAAGATTTGTATATGTTCAGTATAGAGAAAGAGAATACTTAATTTTGATGAAAGCCCTGGAGAAAGTAAAGTCGAGAATATGAAAGCGAAAAGTGTTCCGAATTGGGCTGCGACTGGAGATAAGTTGCAAAGAGCTCGTTGAAAGCCCCTACAACGCACAACGTCAGCAAAGCAAGGAACAAATAAGCACGCCCTCTGAAAAGTTTCTGCATTCATCCACAGAGACTGTATTTCCTAGTAAATTTACTTACGCATGACTCTGCTGTATAAGTTCATACGCTTTCACTTTACGGTAAAGGGTAATATTAAAATGAATCTTAAGATAAATATCTTGTGGAAATATGGACAAGATTTAAATGGCTCAAGGCCTGGTTCAGTGGCATTGGGCGATGTGATGAGCGTTTCGTCCGAGGCAGGAATTTTGTTTACAAAGAGAAGAATCTTGTTAAGCCCGTGAAGGAAGTCTGCAGGATGTAGTCAACCAGTCCCTTAGACTGTCATTAAATCACTCACACATTAAAAATCTGTCAGTAAAACATTTAGTCAGTTTACGAGTCTCTGTCATATGTTTGTCATTAAGTCATATTTGCGGCGGTGATTTCGAAGATGGCTGTCTTCTGGGTTGTAGTCTGCTGGGCAGGGCGTTGAGTAATCATCGCTCTGATGATGGAGGCAGAAAGTACCTCTGAAACACTGTTAACCTTCTACCAGACTATACGGCGCTATAATCCAGAAGACAGCCATCTTCAGACTCACGACCGTGAAAACGTAGAATAATAATTGGTCAGCAATGGTTTTGTTATCATGCGCAGTAGTATTGAATTGCTTATTAATTTTATAATTTGATATTTTACAATTCAGAACTTAAATATTTATAATATTAAAATGTACATTTAAGATAATTTTTCTGTAAGAGGATTTTTTCTTAATTGCAATATGAAATTAAACTTTTTGTTTTATAATTTTAATTTACGTAGATTTTAAAACAAAATATTAACACAGTCTTGTTCAATTTAAAGTAAATTGAGGCTACATGATATCATTAAAAATATAAAATCCATAATGAAAAGTTATCGTTATATAACACATTTTAATTTCTTTCTGCCATATGTCGAAAGTAATCTGCCTTTAACGAGGACCATTACACGTTACCATGGAAATATACCGACACAAGAAGATTCTTTGAATAAAATTCAGTCTGTAAAAGACAGTTATGTTACTCATAGGCCCTACTCATACTAACGTTTCTGTGGTATTCTATATATTGTCCTCTTCGTGCTAACATCAATTTCTTTTAGCGAGCATAATAAATATTAAATAGTCTATAACTAATAAGCGCAGATACGTTCAGCTTGGAGTTTCCAAACTACATACAAGTAGAAATGTGAAAATTGAATTTCCATGTGTGTCAAAAAGTATTTCCAAACCAAGAATAAATTCAAATGTTCTCATAAAAACTGAATTTCAAACTTCGTCTTCAAACCAAAACTTTCTCTGCTCCAGACAGCATATAATTAAAACTGTCGCAGAAATGTTTTTGATTTTCGTAAACAGAAAATAGTTTGACAGACGTTTGACTTCTCATATTGAAAGTTCGTGAAGATACCATTTCGAAAAAGAAATGTATTCATGATACAGTAAAGTTGACGTGAAACTAAATATATTAAAATACCGCTGTGGAACTATATAACGCACAATACTATCAAAATGACAAAGGCTGATCTTAAACTTGCTAAATTTTGTAGAGTATTTAAGGATCCTTGTAGGTTTGTAATGATCCGAATATTGGACCTTAACGAAACAATAATTTATAAGAATGGGTACGGCCGAAATGTTTTTGCCCGTAGCTGTCGCAAAATACAGTGACGATTGTAAACTTAATAAGATCGAAGAAGAACTGAAAATTGCAGATGTATGTAGCAACAAAAATAATGCACAACCAACATTGAACATTAAAAAGAAACCTGTAAACCGAATCTCGAAGTTCCTATATCCTATCAACTAGAAACTGTACAAACAACAAACTCTTATACAAAAACTATAAACTCTTACATAAAATTTTTTATATAAAAACCATAAATGTATAAATTCTTGTAATCTAGAGGGTAGAATAATGCCAGTGACGTCTGACAAAAATGTGAGAAATTTTTTTGTTAAATCGCTCTTTTGGGCTTTGTCTATTGTCTAAATTATGAAATGATAAAATATGTGTTAGGCACGCTGGTTGAGCTAGCCTTCAGACCTGGACCTTATGGACTGGTGAGACTAACAGATAGGTTTTCTGTCCACTTTTCCCCGTTTTTACCTGATGATAAAAGCAGAACCCAGCTTTCCAGCGTTGTAAATTTATAATTCAGACTATGGTCAAAGTTCAAAAGAACAATGCAACACAATTTAATGCACCATCAGCAGAAACCTTCGAATTCCGACTATGGAAAAAAATTAAAATCATATAAAGAGAAACATGCCACATGTTTAATCCGTTATGATGATGACTATGAAATAAAAATGAGGTGGAAAATTATCACCATTTATTTAATTTAAATTAGTTCATCATATTAGTATCTACCTGTTCATACATTAAGTGTTTCAAAATTTTACTCTAGTTCATGATTTGTATTTTATAGATAGTCGATTTTTCGTTTGTTTAACAACACTTTATCAGCTGCATGTGTTATAGACCCATAGCGGAAAATGGGCAATTAATTATATATCGGAGAGAATTTAGAAGAAATCAGTCGCTGCCTAAGGCGCTAAACTTGTCAGGAAGGACTGAGGAAAACACGTAAAAGCTTTAGTCTAGAGCTGGTGTCGGTAGTTGCCGAATTCTAACCAAGATTCCTAGTCGCTTGACAGTGAAGTTCAGTGATGATTTTTGAAGTACATTCTAGTGAAAGCATACGAAAAACATTGTTTTTATAAACTGCAGTTATTAAAGTGCATAAGATAAATAGAAATATAACTTTTATGTCCGTATGACCGAGTACTTTTTTTTACCTCGGAAACAATCTAACTGATTTTGATTATATTTCGTATCAAATGTCTAAACCGCTGATAAGGTAACTATGAAAAATGTCTGCACGTTATGAAAGCGTATGGAAGAGTTGGAGGCAATCTTAACGCATTCTTAACTTCGGTACGCGATTGAGATCAGTGACAGCTTTATGTTTCGGCTATTTTACTCCAGGGATAAAGACTCCGGTATCTAATGGAATGGTAACTAGGTGAACATCAAAGTCTGTCTCAAGGAGTATAAATTTTATACGGAATATATTTAATTTTTAATATTATCAGCTTTTTATAATCACTACGTTACATGAATGTCAGCTGTATACGCTGTTAATTTCCATAAGGAAATCTCTATGTATACATGGTCCGAATAAGATTTATAATATTTATAATATTAATATTAATATTAATATATTAATATAAATATAATTTAAATACAAAGACGTATTTACGTCAGATTCCACTGTAAATTATTCATTTCAAATTAGAAATTCGAGCGGCTGAATAAATCTTGTCTGTGATAAACAAACGACATAATAATTTATAGAAGCTTATAGTTACTCAGCTGGTCAAGATCCTGAGTCTTAATGCAGAATAAAGTCTTTATAAAAGGCCGAGTCTTGAAGCAGCCAAATCTTGACAACGCCGTTTCATAAAACTTTATACCCACTTTAATATTATTTATTTGAAATGTATTTTATGTTTTATATATTGAAACGGTCAGTTATTAAGTTAGATTTCAGGTTTTTGAAGTTGCGAGTATGAAGACGATTCCAAATTTTATGGTTTGGGCCCATATATATATGTTTACCTCAATTAATAAGTGATAAAAAATATTATTTAATATAATATTTTAAGCGGATGAAATTGAAGTAATATTATAGTCTGTGAGTATATGATTTGAAATATGTCATCCATTTGGATACAAAGTAGAGCCAATATTATAGCCATTTGGCTTAGAATTTCTTAAGGGCGTCTAATTATGAAAGTTACAAGATAAATATAGCGCAGTTTCTTTCATATTAATGCTAGGTTGACCTTCATAGGATTAATTCTTAAGAGACCCATGCACTTAATGTGTTTCTGTTACCTGTGTATGGTTTGGTGGCTTGAAGTTGTAAATTGAAACAGTAAACGCGGTTAAGCGTCCGTTACTCACTGTGCATTTTTAATGTCGAACACACTCACTCGCGCGCGTCTGACACCAAGCGTCCCCGCTTTGGCGTCCACTGCCAATAATTGCCCGCGACGGACTGCCGTCAGAATACGGCTTGCTCTTTGCCGAAAAATAGGATGCCAGGCGCTGAATTGAATTGCGCATGCGTCGAATAAAGACGCGCGACGTCCGTCGCGGTGGCTGTAGTGTTACGAAGTATTGTACAAGGCTCTGACTTAAGTGTAACTTGCTTCTTCTTGGTTTATTTAACGACACTTTAAATTTCCTAGATATATTTCCTTGAATGGCAGGATGAATTAGAAGGACCTGGAACGAATGGTCATTAGAAAAGAGGGAGTATTCGCTAATTTTACTGGAGGCACTGAGGATCTTTGAACTGAGATTTGAACCCGTGACTTTTCTAATTCGAAGTAGGATTGTTTATTATTCTTCCGCAAAGTTTGGTCCTGGTATGAAATGAGGATGTGCCAAAACGATGTATACACACAAGGTTATTCCATATTATAATATAATAATTATATCCTGCTCGCGAGCACAAACACACAGACTCTAAGTATCATATAAATTAACTTACCCGATTATGTAAGTAATAGTCGCTAATGGTCAAGAAATTTCCCGTCTTTTATGGAACCCGAAGGCTCACTACCATACTTATACGAGCACTCCAGTGGATCTTATCCTGGGTCGCATGAATCAATCCACACCTCACTCCATTTTTTACGATCCACTTTAATATATTCCTATTTAAGTCTGCATATTCTAAGTGGTCTCCTCCCTTCAGGTTTTTCGCCCAAATGTGAATTTCTCATCTCTGTGCAAAATTTTGTGCCATGTTGGTCTCTGACGGTAAAGAGCTGTTGGTCTACTCCAGAACCCCTGTAAGAGGGACGCCCTCTTGTAGCCTGTCCTCAACTGCTTATTCAACAAAATCTAAGCCTATATTCCTATCAGGAGGCGTTTTCCTCCATCCCAAATCTGAAGGCCCCAGGTCGTGATGACAAGGAATCGGCTTATCGTGGATATAGAATAAATGTGTACTGAATAACATGATTATCTTTAAGTTTACTTATTTATTTCTTAGATCAGCATGTAATTTTGTACATATTAATATCAGACTAAGGTACACTAAACCTACCATTTGGTCATTCAATGAAGTTTGTCAACCAATACGAATGTAGCTAGTGATTTTTTTTTGTTATGGTTGGCACGAATTGTGGAAAACTTTTCGTGTAGGCCTACGTAAGTTGTAATACTTTGATGTCTTACGAAAATTATAAGCCTATATAGAACGTACAGTGTAATGTAAAATGAATTTATTTTTAGTCGTAATTCCTCGTGCTGTTTTTGTACAGTCGCTTGTGTGCTAAGATAATATACAAGTGAATTGAAAAGAAGCATTACATTAAAGCCTTGAAGTCCGTACTTTGATAAGGGAACTTCACACGAATATGTACAGAAATATTAGAAACGAGTGAGGATGAAATGAAATATATAGTGATAAAAGAAGAGAAAAACAACTAACTAATATGTAAAAAACTAACACTACCTGTGACATAAGTAAAAGTTAAAGGAAAAAAAGTATAAAGGAGAAGGGAACTTCACACGAATATGTACAGAACTAACACTACCTGTGACAGAAGTAAAAGTTAAAGGGAAAAAAGTATGAAGCAGACAAATCATTGGGTGCAGAATAATATATCTGAAGCTGAAAAGAATGAGGATAATAAAAGCCTCGAAGATTTTTCTTCCGTGTACAGAATAAGAGTGAAGAGTTCGAGGGGGGTTTGGGGGCACAAGGGAATAAATGCAGAAGAAATAAACTTGGTGCTGTTAGGGAATATGTGAATGGAAAGATGAGTGGGGTAGAAAGCTTGGTTCTTTTGTATAGACGTGGCGGCTCCGCAGGTGATATCCCATAATGCACTGCTGTTTACTCTCCTTTTGAATCCCTCAGACAACACGTCTTCCCTGAAACAAGATCAATAACAGGAAAGGGGTAGGTTGAATTTGTCATGTGGCACTTGTCTTCGTGCACTCTTTCATCCTGTTCCTTTAGAGCCACAAATTTGAATTTTGAATTATGAATTCTAGACGTAAGTTATAGATTGAAGGCCTTTGATTACGTGTTGCTGAGATAAATATTTGGATATAAGATAGAAGAAGTAACAGACTAGCTGGTGAAAAGTGAACGCTGAGCTTTATAATTTGTAATTCTTACTAAAATTCATAACAATACGATTAAAAATGTTTATGAATAATAATTAGATATGTATTCCTAAGGAGGAATAGGTGGGCGTCGCTTGTAGCAGAAATGGAAAAGTTGAGAAATTCACACATTTTCTAGCCAGAATACGTGAAACGAAGAGACAGTTTTGAAGTTGTCGATCTAGATGGGAGATATTGTTCTTGTAATAATTACAATAAATCTTTGTTTTCCGTAAAAGGCGGGATTTTCTTGACTTCTGAGTTCTTGTCTTTTCATGAATGACTGTGCTGCAGTGTAATTCCTTTTAATTTGCAAATATAAACAGGGGTTGGCTGTTTTCTCGACATGTTTATTTGCCCATAATTCGGAGATTCAAAGTTCGAAATCATGATGTTCTTTGAAAATAATTTTACACGCATTTTGTGAAATGGCTATGCACGTGAATAGTCCACTATGTCATTTGTTTGCGTAAAAACACGGACAGACTGGTTCTGGTAAAGAGGGGTTGAACCCCTCCCCATCTACAGTGTATAGTAATTTTACAAACAACTGAATTCGTAGAGATATTCAGGAAGGGACGTCGCTTTATTGGGGAGGAATCTTCAATTATTTATGACACGTGATGTAGCACCTCCAACATGGAGCTTGTTTTCAACTTGTACAGGGGGAAAACATGTGCCCACAAAATCATGCATGTATAGAAATTTTTTCTTCTGTGTGGACATCTTGTGTGTACTCATCTGTTGTCTTTGTACAGTTCTGAAGTGTACGTAATTTTTCCGAAATAGTTACTTATTAATGTGCATACTTCAATGGCAGTAATTTTAATTTTTGCTAATATGAATCCATCGTTATTATTTAAATCAAGAACACATATAAAAATGTAGACAATCAGGAAATATTTATTTTTTTATTTCATTTACTATTTACAACATCGAAAACATTTGTCCTTTCGTAATAAGAGAATGTTCGTTGGTGATCATTTGCTTTTGTTTGATTTTTGGCCGTGTCGTATAATTTTAATCAATGTGTGTTGTTAAACAGTTGGCATGGTAATGCTTTACGGGATTTCGGACGATGTATGATTTATGACTATGTATGTTCGTTACTTTAGATTTTCCATTTATTTTTGAAGGACTGGTGTTTTAAATAAAAGGCTTAGATCCTAATAAGGACTGTATTTTACTTTATTAGTTAATGTGTTTCTGTGTGATCAAACGATTTGAGAAACTTTATACAACATTATCGTAACTTAATGATAGTAATAGCTTACAATTAGGTGTATGTTTAATAGCTATAATTTATGAACCATTAAAGCTTAACATGGGAAATTACTTATGGTGATATAAGATACTCACACAATCAAATGTTACTGAAACCTTTTTCGATTTATTAAATCCTCTATACATGGCGACAGCTTAAAAAAGTTTGACAAATTTAACGAAATCGGGAGCTTTAGGCTAGCAAGTGAAAGTAATGTCCCGAAAAAAACCATTAAGTTATACAACATTATCGTAACTTAATGATAGTAATAGCTTACAATTAGGTGTATGTTTAATAGCTATAATTTATGAACCATTAAAGCTTAACATGGGAAATTACTTATGGTAATAGAAGATAATCACACAATCAAATGTTACTGAAACCTTTTTCGATTTATTAAATCCTCTATACATGGCGACAGCTTAAAAAAGTTTGACAAATTTAACGAAATCGGGAGCTTTAGGCTAGCAAGTGAAAGTAATGTCCCGAAAAGAACCGTTAAGTTATATAGTTATAAATTACCAGTTCTTGTTTTGTTTTTGGTTTATTTAAAATAGCTTAACGTAGCTTAGTATATGACATGGGATCGTATGTTCTTTAATAATTATTTGGAAAGAATATGATAGAAAGTGGCCGTTGACTAACTTATCGTATTATATCGGATTTGCCTGGGGGGGGGACTCGAGAAAACCACGAAGATCCTAAGTAAAGATAGCCGGTTTACGCGCCGAGATTTAAATCTGAGGTCTTCTGAACAGAAGCCGGATTGCTGGCCACGTAATTGACAGTCTTAGTATCATCAGCATATAGATTGGAGCATGAAGGAATCATGTGTAATAAGTTTTTTACAATACTTCTTGTTTATTTCTAAATTGTTGTGGTATACATAGTGTTCCAGTTATAACTCAATCCTAATTAGTAAACATTAACACCCTCAAGCACGAAATGACGAAACCAGTGACAATATTGAACTCTTCCAACCATTTCCGTCAGCTGATTTACAGTTTTGAGATCGGTACGACCTAATTTCATCTGTTTTGTCGCCTGATTAGCATTTGTCGGAGTAAAAGAATTCCTCCGACCTGAAATTTAGTTACCGGTCAATGTATCCTTGTATCATTCGGTATGCCTAATTTCTTATCAGGATATGCATTGTTAATTCTTCGCAAACA